GTTTTCAAATCAATTAGCTCATCTTTGGCAAGGTTCATGTCATCGATACAGTCAATATCACAAAGAAAAGGATTACGAATCCACAACTCATCTTTTATATTTATTCCATCCGAATTGAAATATTTTTCAAATGAAACTTGAAGTACTTCCAGGTGTTCACAGATTTCATTTTTCAAGTTATTCAATAACAAACTATCTTTCCGAGATCCATTTTCAAAACGCACTTCGTCCAACATTTGAAAGTTTGCATATATCCCATTTTGAATTCTAATTTTCCAAAGTGACATTTTCAATAAAAATGCCTGTAGTTTCTCAGTGGCATCCATAATTGTTGTATCAGGCCCTTGAATTGAAAGACATACATATATCGTTCATGTGGTTAAAAATGTCTGCCAGGTAAGCCAATTTACATATAAAATCTTTTTTCTTTAAATATTCGAAGAGTGAGTTATCTTTTTCTTCTAAAAAAAGTGATACTTCTGTCTTCAACATGAAAATTCGTTTCAAAACCTGCCCCCGCTCTTCCGTGTGGTACACAAGTACCTCATGTTCTGCGTTCATTTCTTGACACAAAGTGTTTTAAAAAAAAGACGATGATTAAGAGCTCTACTTCTAATAAAATTCACAGTTTTAATAACTATTGACAATACTTCTTTTAAGCTGGTTGGAAGAGTTTTTGTAGCCAGTGCATGTCTATGTAAAAAACAATGTGTAACAATAACATTAGGAGCCTCTTTTTTTTTACCAAATGGGCAAAACCAGATTTATTGCCAAGCATCGCAGGTGCTCCATCCGTACAAAGTGAATGAAGTTTTTGTTTCCAGTCGAAGTCGTGTTTGGAAAAGAAAACATTTAAAATCGCTAAAACATCAACTGCCTTTGTAGTTTGCAAAAGAGGCTCACAAAATAAGAATTCTTCTTTGATAGTATCAGCAGACACGTAACGAACAAAAACAAGAAGTTGACTACAATTCGAGATGTCTGTAGTTTCATCCAGTTGCATACTAAAGGGAAATGGCGATGCTTTCAATTCATCGATGATCTGTTTCAAGATATTGCAAGAAATTTCAACTATTCTTGAATGTATTCACATCCTTGGACAATGGAATAGCCTCAAGTTTTTTTTCTCTGTTCCAGTCCACAAACTAATTCAACCATTTCCAGCGCACATGGCTTAATTAATGTCTCTCCAATAGTATGCGGTTTCTTACTTTTGGCAATACGATATGCAACTCTGAAAGATGCCTCAACCAAAGGTTTTTGTGAAATAAATACCAAATCCAAGTTTGGTTAATGTTCCAGATTTCGAAAACTGGGCTTTCTTCTTTGTAAAAAATTCTAGATCTTTAGATGCATTTTCAGGATGAAGAGATTTGAGATGCTCTATCAATTTTGCCGGTTTCATACTGGCGTTTGCCAAAACTTTTCCACACAGAAAGCATTGTGGCTTTTCAACACCGTCCGATTCCTTCATGCAGCAGAATCCATATTTTACATAATTTTCATCATACTTCCTTTTTTTGGACATTTTGGGCTACAAAAAATATCAAATAATCAAATGAAACATTAAGAACAAACATTAAGAAAAAAAAAACACTTGAAAAAAATACTTTAATTACAACTTATGAAAAAGTAAAACAAATATTTTGTTTTAAAAATTTGCAAGAACTTTGCGGAACTGATTTTAACGTCACTTTATTTCCAAGTGAAGTAAAATTCAAAGGCTACTTTGTGTTTCTAAAAATTTCAAATTTTATATGGTTTGCGAATGTTCTTTTCCTCGTATTGTGGAGGTCTCTATTATTGGGAAATGGCAGACAGACGGCTTACAGAGGTTGCCGTGACAAAAAAAGTTTTTTTAAAAATATTGATGCAAACATTTTAAAAATTAGGAGCAGTCAGCGGACCCCCAAAATATGACCCATGGACCTCCAAGAGGTCCATGAACCACAAGTTAAGAAACACTGCTCTAGAAATACCGGATGAATAACCCCAACGGGCAAATGTTGGATTCATAGATTATTTCTCCTTGTAGATTTGCGTAGTGGCTTCTTGTAATGATTTGCGTTAAGTATTCGCAATTTCATTCGATCTTATCGCCTTATATATGTAAGAGTAAATCTCTGAGCACTGGATTAACACTGGATCAAATCTTTAGTTTTAATTTCTCCAAATATTTAAATATAAATGGCTTAAACTTAGCAATAACATAAATGATAGATTAACATAAATTTTGCATGGTGTTCAAATTTTGCATATTGCAATATTCATCTCTAAATGTTTAACTGTGAAGGAATGTTGATTTACATGCTTCAAAGCTCTTTCTTAGGAACATTTAATACATCACATAACAAAATTCCTCGGTCATATGAAATTATGACCAGTTTTAAAATATGAAAATTTAAGATGAACTTAATTTTATTAGAAAAGGGATAGAAGTCACATCCATTACTAGCTATTTTATTTTCAACTATTGGAAAAGTCTATATATATATATATTATAATATATATATAATATATATTTATATATATAATATTATTTATATTAAGATATTATAAAATATCAATTTTAAATCTTTTATGAACGAATGCTAAATTACATCTAAGTTAATATTTCCTAAAAGTAGTGTTACAAATTTTGTACATATATAAATAATTTTAGTCAAATTATATGTAAAACTGTAATATCTTTTGTATGATGCCATAAAAAACGCCGCAAAAGACAAAGCTATACCTGAAACATAAGATTACAGGAGCAACTCTATTTAATATTGAAGTAAAAGATTATCTCGCTAAATTAGCGAGATATCGTCAAGCCGGCGACAGTTTGTGTGACCCACTTTGCTGCCAAATTTGACGAGAAAGTGCGACATGCCCCCAAACTCGGAAACCATATTCGGCTTTAATATGCCTTCCAGTAATTTTGAGACTGGAAGATACTACAGATTTCTCTGCAACCAGAGGAAAACTATGTAAGTTCAAAGAGAAACCAGTTCTTAGCTTTAGTCCACAGCTGAGTTCAGAGTAGAGATCTCCGCGCGAGCTTCTCCTTTTAGATTCTCTGGATTTGCATTGCATTGTGTTTAATGTTCTTAGTAGTTTAGAGTGTAACTACTGATTGTGCTCTGTGATACTGAGAATAGCTTTATGATTACTTCTGGGGAAGTTTCAGAACTGAAAAGTATATTTTTTGTGGGAATAAATTTTATCAAGCTATCATCGGTTTTGTGTTCACTCAATCCATTTCGAACCCGTGTGCACACAACAATAGATGTACGTCTGTTTTCAGTGTAAGTAGTCTATATTTTGATCATTTCTAGAAATTAGTTTTTAATCCATTAAGTATAAACCTGATGGCTTGGTATTGAATTTTAAATCACTTATATTTCAGGCGAACGGTCGAGAAGTATTAATATGCAATTAAATCCTAACATAAATAAGTCCCTTTTGCTAAATGGTGACATTGAACACCGTAGAAAGCAAGACGTGAAAAGTGAGTTATACTCCAGAATTTCCTGATCGGGGATATGAAGCTACTGTCCAACTACATCAAAAGTAATGTATAGAAAATGAGTTAAAATGATCTGTAACAAGATGCTTATAAACAAAAATAATGGAGCTCAGATTTTCGCTCAAAAGACAACAAATAATACCCAAATAAGTGTGACAAGGAAAAGTGATCAGCATTATTTATACCAGAGTGAGTAAGTTCTTCAAATGTTGTTTTAAATATGTTTCTATTTATTAGTGAATATATGAGAAAATAATATTTAAATTTTTAACAGCAATGTACAGTTAAATTTAAAAGTGGTTAATTTTGCATCTGTGAAATGAGACTGGTTTTAAAAGAAATTTGTCTTTCCTAACTAACTGAATACTCTGCAGATACTTTTTTTAAAAAGACTAGCCGTTTGCGCGGCTGTCGCCTAAAATAGTTATTATAAAAAAGAAGAATATATAATGATTTTAAGAAGTCCAGATAGTAATTTGTAGAGATGGAGTTACTTACTGCTTTTAAATCACTTATTAATGAACAACAGACAAATTAAATTTGAAAAAAAGAAAAAAAAAAAAAAAAAAAAAGAAATATCTTACACTTTACCAAATGGCAACGCACTGGCGCGTGAGAAATACTTTATTTTGGGCAGTGGCAACATATTTTTTTAAATCACTGAGTTTGTTGATTAAATTTGAAAGACAAATATCTTATTATTTGCTGAATGGCAACACGTATTCGTAAATCGCTGAGTTTTTTATTAAATTTAAAAGCTTTCATATTTTATATTACGCCCAAAGGAGTGTTTTTCCCCCCACTTACACACACATACACGCTTCGATAGCATTTGGGGTAATGACCCCCTATGGGCTAAACATATTTCAAAAAAGCGTATGATTAGAATTTACAATAGAACAGTGTCGCGTACTAGAGATAAAAATGCTTTTTTTTTTCATTGGGTATTGTCATTGCTCGCTTTCAAATCGTTGAGTTTGTTAATCAAAAACCTCATTTTCATGTTAATCCTAAGATGAAATAGACAATAAAATAAATTCCAAATCCAGGCTTCCAGGTGCTCATATTGGGGTGGAGGACTACGTTATTCAAATTTAATGGCTCTAGGTACCGTTGTTTTTCGCAATATAAGAAAAATACATACATTCATGCAAATTCTTTATTTAATTTCTTTAAATACAGGGCGATTGGTTGCAACAATTTCAAACGTGATACAACGCTTTTTGTGACTGCCGTTTCGAGACAATTTCTTTTGATGCGAAGTCTTTTGATGGTTGACCTCGGAAACAAGACCCTAATAGTAATTCAATGATTTGTGTTTTATCACATTAACGTCGACTTGTCAGGTTCTTGAGCTATTAGATTGAGCTGGAGAAGTGGTTTCTACTAAAAGATGCCCAGAGCGCATGGCTGTCTGATTGTCTTTTCACTCGCGAACCAAATGCGAGGCTTGGTCAGCAAACCGTGGCTCGCGAACTAAAATGCGGCTGTTTGGCTCCTTGAGTGCAGCTCTTCCACAAAATAGCAGACGCGGGCGCGCGTACGTAAAAGCAAGAAAATCTTGAAAATACAACACAAAGGCTATCAAATTTTACAGAAGCATGAAAACATATCGGACAGTATTATTCCTATTTTTTTTTTTTTTTTTTGTATGTACCGATTTCGGTGTTTTGATTTTACTGTTTATGCATCAAATTATGCTGTCGTAGTAATTGCCATATGTCAAATTTTAACAAATGAAATGCTTTGAATTAATATACCATTCAATTTTAAGTTGATTTGTAAAGCCAAATAACGTGAAAAAGTAGTTTCATTTCAAAATATCTGGGTTTTTAGCTTCTTAGACCTTCCAAATTTGAAGTTTTGTCGCAACATTTACGGTACACGCTGTATAGTTTAACGAAGACTTAAAAGTTGAAGTATTAAGCTAATTTTAGGGAGTGCTGTGGAGTAAAAAAAAGATGTAGTGTTGAGAATGGAAAAAGGTATGTTAAGGTAGTTTGGACATATCGAGAGAATAAACAAAAGAAGATGCACGAAACGAGTATACAAGACAAGTGTGGATAGGAGAGTTGGAAGAGGGTTGACCTCAGAGAACTTACGTTAATCATATTTAGAACTTTCTCAGTAAAAGCCATCGTGAGTGCACTAATTAAGTGAATAATAATATACCTACCTATATAATCTAAATTTTAAAAATGTGGCTTTCGGAAGAATTTTCGATCTTTGAACTGTTGATAATGAGTTTGCCGACAACTTGGCTAGGGTATCTCTAGGTTGCCGCACTCGTACTCACAAAGAATGATCCTCCGAAGAATCATATATATTTAGGCGTTGTTAAGTCTCTTATGATTCTTATATTTTAAAAGTAATTTGACCTATTAATAAAAAACTTCTTTATGAGTAGCCTTTTTTCTTTTGGTATCCTGAAGCAAAAAAATTAATTCAATGACGTTAAAGACGAGAAACAGACACTTAAAGCGAAATATATATCTGGATTTCAGAACTAGCATTACATAAAAGTTGCAGTAAAGATATGTTCTTACTCCGTACTCCACATAAAATAGTTATTATGTCTTTTTTTCCTGTAATTTGTCTTCCAAGAGTTTCCAAATACTTTTTCCAAAATGTTTAACAGGCCTATAAACAAATTTTATACTATTAAATATGAATTATTATTCTTTTCTTAGCTGACTAAAAAGATTATTTGCCTGATTGGATCTGATATCAAGCTAAAAACTAAAAATAATCTTTGCAACAAAGGATCTTTAGAAATTATTCATAAAAGAATGAAAATACAAATGTGGAAAAATTTGGAAAGTTCATTCCAAATTTTTCTACAAAAGCGGTTTTCTAATAATTTTTTATTTCGTAGGGAATGTTACTATGACGTTTAGATTTCAGTCGGGTAACATGAAGTTTTCATCGCAAATGCAGTGATCTAAAACATCAGAATATATTTACTTCATTGCAAAGAACTAATGTTATAAGAAATTTTCAGATTTTATTACTTATTGATTCTGTATTAGTGCTCATTAAAAAAGTGAGTAAGAAATTTTAATAATAAAAAAATTATTGGGAAATTGCTAGAAAAAGAATTAATGTTCTTTTTCATATACTACAATTATTCTACTGGCTTCTTTAGTAGTCCTAATTTCTTCATATGACATTCGAAAATACAGTTTCATTATTTTTCTTAGTAGGAATTCTCATATTTATTAAAAATCTTTTAAGAATAAATAAGTAAAATTTTATGCTCATCTTGATTGCGAATCTTATTGGCAAATCGTCTTGAATCTAACTAACTGCAGTGGTACGTATTTTACTCATTAAATACGGTTTCCAATTTTAGCGCAACACTTAGGGATTTCCTAATTTTAAAAACTGGCGTAACGCATGTATTCTTTATCAGCAATATTAAAAGAAAATTACTGAAATTGACTTGCAACAGATATCTTTTCTTTAAAGGAAATTTCAACCAGATTATTCAGAAGCTATTGAAAATGATCAGTACTCTTAAAAATTCTAAATACAAATTACTTCTAAATAAACATTTATTTATTATATAATTTTATTCCAATTTATTTAATTCTACTTAAATTTCTTCTTTTAAAATAAATGCATTCTAAATTGAAATTATTTTTAGGGCGAACTTAATCATCAGATGAATATCAATGAAGTCGTAACAGAGCCTGAGCTATTGCCTCCACGCCATGTACTCATACAGATGACTGGGCTGTAAGTGATCTGATGTGAGGGAGATACTCTGATGCAAACGGTGGAATTTCTAGAGGCATTATTATAATTAATAATCACCTATCATGTTTGTGATATGAAATATCACAAATGCTTTATGAAATCTATATAATTTCTGCAAGTTGAATTAGTATATATTTCATTTTCAGTTTAAATCCGACTAGCTTCGTGAAAAAGCCTATGTCTGAAAGGAAACTATACAAATAAAATGCATTTCAAAAGCTAATATAAGCTGCCAATGTACTTATATGTAACATAACAAAATTATGTAAACATAAATTACAGTACCATTTTTCTGCACTACATCATTTCGAGACTAACCCACGTCATATGACTCTTATACAATTGTGATAATGTAAATGGAAATAAACTCAAAAAGCCAATGATAAATTTATAGCTTTGTTAATTATCCAATCAAATGCATTGAATAACGAAACTAAACGCATTCTGAATTAAGATTTCATCCTAAACACAAATCACTTGCTTTCTGTACCTCGGCCTAGCTGGACTGATGCTTGTTGCTCTCTTCTTACCGCAAAGCTATCAAAAATGTAAGTGTTTTAAAAAAGACGAGTAATGTGCTTATTTATTTGCGGCCAGAAAACATTTGAAGAAATAAAAAGGAATTTTTAATCTGCCTCGGCCGTCACGTTTACTCTTCATTATGGATCAAAATTCTACTCTATTAGTGTTTCTATAATGCCAAAAGAAATATCTCATTATCTACTCAACCAACATTTCTGCATCATAACACACACACAAACACACATATACATATATATATATATATATATATATTAGAACAGTTTTGTATTATCTCCTAGGAAAAGATATGAAATTAGGAAACTTAGTAAAAATTAGTTTTAATGTTAGCGTAGAAAAAATCTTTTTAGTATTGTCTACAGCAAGTAAAAAAAAAAAATTAATTAAAAGTAAATTTATCAAAATGGTACAAAATGAAAATTGTTAAGGAAAAAATTAGTCAATTATTGATATTAAAAAAAAATTAATTGACGCTTAAAGGGAAACAAACCAATTTCCGATCTGTTAATAATAATTAATAAAAGCGAAATGCAAAGTAAAATTAGCTTTTAACTGCTTGCAGTCCAGTTGCGTGCTGATAGCAGCACCAAGTGGTAGTAGTAATGCAAAATAAAATAAAAACTACGTTTAAAAATTCATTACATATTCTATTCGGAATAAAACACATGCAAAAACCAGAAGCTCAGTGGCAAACTGTAAGAAATTTACATCTTTCAATTCATCGTCATCAGGGAGCTAGTGCAAAGAAAGAAGCTAAATAAAACAGCCTGTTTCTGAGCCGACACACACAAATTAAAAATAATCTAAGAAAAACGAAAAGTAATCTGTGTCTTTATCAGACCAACCCTAATCATTGGAATTGGACTAATAAAGACACAGATCGTTTTTTAAATTTTTTCGCACAGTTTATCAATTCAGTCATCTTCCAGCATCATCTATTCTTAAAATCTGAACATTCACCTTGCTAACTTTCATATGCACCTTACTTAACTTAACTTAAAACTGCCCAACATTTTTAACCAAAAATTTCCTTTTTTCCATGAAGATGTCGCTGAATGTCATTTTTGTGTTTTTAGGTTTTAGCTGATGAATTATAAGAATTACAGTTTGTATTATTTAATAAAATAAAAACATTTTAAAAGACATAGTTAATTTTAAAAGCAATTCGTTCATAGAGATTTTCTAGTGATGTTCTCACATTGTAGAGACATTAGGCATTTTTTAAAGCAGGCAAGATGAAAAATGAGCAACGCCTTCGCCGGGAATCGAACCGCGGACCTCTTGAATGCACTCCCAGCGTGCAGACCACCACACCACGAAGGCATGCCAGGAAGGCGGGAGAAACACTTCATAACATCTGCTACGTAATCGTATTCAACAGCACCATTAATTACTTAAATACACTTTACCTATAAAGCAGTATCTGCCTTTCTCAATTTACGGAACAAGAAGGTACTCGTCTGTATAATATTCTCGTTTATATATTCTGCAGCTAAAATTTTAAATGTGGTACGCAAATTTGTTTCGAGTAAAAAAATATGAGGATCTGATCACAAAATCAGAGGCAGAAGTCAATTATGCTACTAGCATAATTCTTAGAATTTCACATTTTGTGTAAGAGAAGCATGACAGATTGAAGAATTGAATCTTACACTGATATTTATATGAGGAGAAAAAGATGTGTTCTGTGTCTTTCGAGACCGTTAAGCCCGCATCGTGATTTCCATGACAGAAGGACTCTTCGTGAGATTTCCACTACCTTCCAGAGTTGTGGTAGGTTTGCACTTACAAAGAGCTCTTTTCAAGTCACAAACGTCGGCAGAGAGACCAGACATAAATACGTCGCAAAGATAGATATGCAATACCTGTTTTATTCTTCATTTTTTTCAAGAAATTCAGTTGTTATGTTTAGAAATATGACTTTTTGCTTTATCCTGAAGAAGTTTCACTCTTTAAAAGTCATTTGGATAAAGAAATTAGAATTTCTTCTGTGGATATCCGACGTAAAACTTTCTCCTGATCGAACGTTGAGTTGATTAGATTAGAATATTGTTTCCACTTTTATTTTTAATTTACCGTTGTAAGAGAATCCTCCGATAATCATAAACTCCTTACTAAAAAATTTTTTGCACTGGCTTACCAGGTTTGTACTTTTTTTCTCTTCGATTTCTATAATAAATTGACATCTTTTTTTTTTTTTTTTTTTTTTTCTATCGAAATGATCATGATCATTTATGTAAGCCCATGCTTCATCAAGGGTCTCATTGCATAACCATTTACAGTGTCTCCCAAAAATGTTCGCACACTTTAAGAATTTGCAGAAAAAGCGATGTAATTCAGAACTGAGTGCGAATATAAAGCCCAATTTTTTTTTCATGTCATCATGGTGTGATTTTGAATAAAACGAAACTTTTTAATTTTTAATACTGATTTTCTTTTTCTAAAATTGAAAATGTAAGGAGACACAGATAAAACACGCCACAAAAGTGATCGTACACAGAAACATTTTCGTAAAATTTCATAAATAAAATTATCGTCTGCTACTTTTTTTTTATTTTTGCATTTTGGTGATGTTTAAAAATTGTTTGTCTTTATTTTTTGCTTGCTTCGTTATATATTATGTAATGTTTAAAAATGGTCCGTAGTCGTAAGGAAACAACGAACAGCATTCGAAAATTGATCATTTTTTTCTTATAAGGATGGAAACTCGATTCAAAATATCGCTAAATTAGTAAATATATCCCATTCTAGAGTGTAGTATGTGATAAAATACTTTAAAGAAGAAAATCGGATCAAAATAAAGTAAAAAAACGTTGTCCGGCAAAGAGGACTTGCAGTGACTCAACGTGGCCAAAGATTTATAGTTAGAAAATTTGTGAAAAATCCACGTTTGAATGTTGTAAAGATTTGTACAAAATTAACTGGAAAATATTCTACCTCAATCTCACTTAAAATTGTTCGACAAGAGCCCAGATCAGCTGGATTACATAGGTGCTCTGCTCGAAAAAAATATTTTGGAAGTGCAAAAAATAGAAAACTTGGGCTTTTCTTCTCAAAATCGATGGTACATAAGACTGAAGAGTAATGGAATTATGTTTTATTTGCAGAAAGCAAGTTTAACATTTTCTGTTTCGATGGGCGTCTAATAGTATGGAGAAAAAAAAATTAGCAGCTTAATGACGAGACCTTGGTTGAAACAGTAAAGCATGACGGTGGATGTGTGCTTATGTGAGGGTGCATGACAGCATCAGGATTAAATAATTTAGTATATATTGATGACACAATGAACCATGCTCTTTATTTAAATATTTTAAAAGATAAAAATCATCCGCCTAAAATTTGGATGCTGGAAACAACTTTGTTTTTTATAAAGATAACGATCCTAAGCACACGGCCCTCAACGTTCGAATTTTGGGTGTCTATAATTGTCCACAAGTCTGAAAACACCACGGCAGTCACCAGATATAAAGTCAACAGAACACATTTGGAGAGAATTAGAGGACACAACATTAAAATAAAAAAATCTGATGTGTACACCACATGACTTCCTTGTACGGAATATTAAATTATACGCATTTTTTCTTGCATTTCATTTAAACTTACTGGATTGAAATAAATCTACTCCGCCGACAGCGCATAAACCACAATAGAATAAATGCATTCTTTAAAATTCACTCTATTTGCTTACCATAGCGACACTCTGGCGCTAGGCTTTCTTAACAGTATTATATTTCGTTCATTGTTAGTCATATTATAACTCAGAATGCACAAAATTTATATCATTTAAAGAATTATCTAATCTTTGTCACATGTTCTATTCAAATACTATAATAAAGCTAGAACGATGTATAAAAGAAACTAAGAAAACAAAACAAAAAGGAAAATGTTTTTCACAGACGATTGAGTATTTCGCATTCAATTAATTCCGTTCTTAAAAAATCAGTTAATTCAGTTAAATTTTAAACACTTATTTCCTCGAAAAAATTCCAGAAAGGATTAAGCATGATTTAATTCGCAATAATAAATGAAGGCGTTATCTTTGTTGTTGCGAAGTTAAGTTTCTCTAGATTGGCAACAAATCCACTATTCTGCTGTTTCAAATGTAAACACGCAATGGCCGCCATCAGAAAAAATATTAGGCTTACGGCACTTAAACAATTTTAAAATTGTTGATAATTCTAAAAACATTGCGTACAGATTTACTAAAGGCATAAAAATCTTAACCGGAAGATAAGAAAAACATAATTCAATCATTTTTAAAGCAAAAAATGCACAATTTACAAAACATATAAGAGTAAAGAAACTGAGATCACTGAGCCGGGTAACAGAGTGGATATATATATAAATATATTTGTATACGTTTGGTGCGGCCGATTGCAACCAAAATATGAGGTGCACATCTACATGTTATAGCAGTCCTATATACAAAATTTTAACGT